GCCTCCTGAGTGTTAGGGTTAAAGACATGCCTGGCCAAAATCTTTTTTGTTTTTAAAGTAGAGAGTAAGGGCTGGAGAGATGGCTCAGCGGTTAAGAGCACACTGCTCTTCCAGAGGTCCTGAGATGACACCATTATACTTTATCTTATTTGTGTGCGTGTTTTGTCTGCATGTATGTCTATGCCCCACTTTGCTGGTATGGTGCAGCAGAGATCAGACAAGGGCACTGAATCTCCCAGACTAAAGTTGAGCCACCACGGGAGTTCGGGTCCTCAAGAGTGACAAGCGCTCTTAAAGTCTGAACTCTCAGCCAGCTCCGTGTCTCCAGCCTCTGTGGGGGTTTTGTTTTTCAAGACAGGGTTTCTCTGTGTAGCCCTGGCTATCTGGAACTCACTCCGTAGTGTAGACCAGGCTGGCCTCAAACTCAGAGATCTACCTGCCTCTGCCTCCTGAGTGTCGGAATTAAAGGCGTGCGCCACCACCACTTGACTGTGTTTTGCTTTTCCAAATTTTTTTTTTTTATTGCTTGTATGTTGAGGTGTATGCATTTGAGTGTGGTGCCCATGGAGGTCAGAGGGGGTGGAGCCCCCGAAGCTGGAGTCACAGGCAGTTGTGAGCCTCCTGCTGCAGGTTCTGGGAATGACCTCTTAACCAGAGTCTTCTCGCCCGCCCCACAGGCCCGCCCCATCTGTGGGCTTGTCGTTACTTTAAGGTTCTTAACTCTCAGTTACTTGTATATGTGTGTTGGGGTGAGTGCAGGCACCTGAAGTGGCCAGAAGAGGGTGCCAGGTTCCCTGGAGCTGGATTTACAGGCATTTGTAAGCAGTTTGACATGGGTGCTGGGAACTGAACTCCAGTCCTCTGCGAGATACAAGAGCAGCAAGCATTCTTAAGTGCTGAGCCATCTCCCCAGACCTGTGTGTGCGACTGTTTAAGATCGTTCTAATCTTAGCGTATGTGGTTGTGGGGGAGAGGTCAGTACCCATACTCAACATTTGAATCAGTTTCTCCAGCCACCTTCATTTTCCCTAATAGAAAACATTTAGCCAGGCAGTGGTGGCACACACCTGTAATCCCAGCACTTGGGAGGCAGAGGCAGGTGGATTTCTCAGTTCAAGGCCAGCTTGGTCTACAGAGTGAGTTCCAGGACAGCCAGGACTACACAGAGAAACCCTGTCTCGAAAAAAAAAAAACAAAAGAAAAGAAAAAAAAAAGAAAAAGAAAAAGAAAACATTTAGTTTCCCTGAAAAACAAACAAAACACTTTAGTTTTCGGTGTTTGTTTGTTTGTTTGTTTGTTTTTTGGTTTTGTTTTGGTTTTTGGTTTTTGGTTTTTGGTTTTTTTTTCAAGACAGGGTTTCTCTGTGCAGCCCTGGCTGTCCTGGAACTCACTCTGTAGACCAGGCTGGCCTCAAACTCAGAAATCCACCTGCCTCTGCCTCCCAAGTGCTGGGATTAAAGGCGTGCGCCACCACCTCCCAGCTTGGTGTTTTTTTGTTTGGTGGGTGGGTGGGTGTATCCTGCCTCCTGAGTGCTGAGATTGTGGGTCTGAGTTAACACACATGATTGTAGTTTGTTTTTTTGTTTGTTTGTTTTTGTTTTTTTTCTTTACTTGGTTATTGGGTAGTCTTTATTATTGAAGAATTAAAAAAAATCCTGAGCTGAGCGTGGTGATGCACACCTTTAATCCCAGCACTTGGGAGGCAGTGGCAGGTGTATCTCTGAGTTCTGGGACAGCCTAGTCTACAGAGTGAGTTCCAGGACAGCCATGACTATGCAGAGAAACTCAAAAAACAACAAGCAACCAAATAAATCCTCTCTGCCCCCCCCCCTGGACTTGGTCTTTGGGGGGAATAAATCCATGGCAGGAAATGGTTTTCCTTCCGTTTCCATGATTTCTCTCCTCTGATCATTTGTCTCTACTTCCTGTAAAAGTGCTGTTCTGCCTATGGTTTCTTTGTGTATGTTTTAGGTTGGTGGTTTTTGTCTGTTTTTTTGGGTGTTTTGGGTTTTTTTGTTTGTTTGGGATTTTTGTTTTTTGGGGGTTTGTTTTTTAGATGTTTAGAAATTCATTTTTGGGTAAGAATGTTTTGCCTGCATTATGTGCATGTACCACCTGTATGCCTGGTGCCCATGAAGGTCAAAAGGATGAATTGGATCTCATGGGAATGGAGTTACTACTGGTTATGGGCCACCATTTTGGTGCTGGAATCAAACCTGGGTCCTCTGCAAAAACAGCAAGTGTCGTTAACCACTGAACCATCTTTCAAGATCCCTCAGTTTGCTTTAAATGGTCATTTAAATAACTTTTTTTTTGAGAGATTTATTTATCTTTATCCTTGTGTGTTTGGTGTTTGGCCGGTTTGTATGTCTGTGCACCGTGTGCATGCAGTACCCTCAGAGACCAGAAGAGGCCAGGAGATCCCCTGGAAATGGAGCTACAGATTGTTACCAGCGGCCATGTTCAGGCTGGGAATCAACTCTGCAAGAACAGCCAGTGCTCCTTAATACTGAGCTGTCTCTCCAGCCCTTAAATCAAAACTTATGCCTGAGGTAGTGACACAGACCTTGCCAGCACTTAGAAAACAGGCCAGCCTGGTCTACAAAGTGAGTTCCAGGACAGCCAGTGCTAAGTAGAGAGATCCTGTCTTAATAAAATGATGCCCCCCGCCCCCCAAGGAAACCTTAATGGTTTAAAGAACCTCAAAGCCAGTGACTAAGAAGTTACGAGAGAACTATGGCCAGTGAAGTGAAGAACTATGGATCAGTGAAGTCATTGTGTGGGATGTAGGTGAAGCCGGCCACGGGAAGGCGCATCCTGTGCCCGTCCCTGCTGCCGCTGAACAGAAGTGCTATTGTCCCGTAGCTTGCCACAGATATGACAGAGCTTGGTGCTGGCGTGCGGTCGGCCAGCAGGTTTTCTGACAGAGTGGTGCCGGTATGTGAGCTGGTCTAGTCCCTTGCGGTAAGATTGCAGGCTCCATTGTCCGTGCTTTTATCTGCCGAGTGAACCTCTCACTGATAAACGTGAGAGCTCGGAAGGGCTCAGTGGAGAAGAAAGGTGCTTGTTGCCCAGCCTGACGACCCGAGGTGGATCCCTAGGACCCACATGATAGAAGAGGACAGCTCCTTCATTTGTCCTCTCTGTCTCCCTGACTCTCCTCTCCGTCTCTTCTCTCTCACACACAAACACACACATTCACAAATGTAATAAAACCAGATCATGTACAACTGGGTAAGTCCACCAATGGTGTTGATTCATGGGAATGTTAGCAGTTTGATGCAGGCCTTCCCGTCAGCATCTGTGATGAACACTGAGATCCCTCTGTGTGGCATCTTTTGATACTGAACGACACAAGCTGGTTACTCATTTGTGCTAGATCATAGGCCAGCCTCCTTTTCCATAAACGCCTAGTGTCTTAGATAGGCTTACTGTCGCTGTGCTGAAACACCATGACCAAAAGCAAATGACCAGGACGTGAACTTAAGTGGGGCAGGACCTGGAGAGGAGCTGATGCAGCAGAGGCCACGGATGTGTGCTGCTTGCTGGCTTTTTCCTTGGGCTTGCTGAGCCTGCTATCTTATAGAGCCCAGGATGACCAGGCCGGGGGGTCGCCTCTCATGCAGTGAGCTGGGCCCTCCCCCGTCAATCACTAATTAAGAGAATACCTTACAGCCAGATCTTATGGAGCCATTTTCTTTTTGTTGTCGTTTTTGTTGTTGTTTGTTTGTTTGTTTGTTTGTTTGTTTGTTTTTTCAAGACTAGGTTTTTCTGTGTAGCTCTAGCTGGTCCAGACTGGACTGGCCTAGAACTCAGAGATCCTCCTGCCCTCGTCTTCTGAGTGCTGGGATCAAAGGCGGTACAACTCTATACCTGCTATGGAGCCATTTTCTTCGTTAAGGTTCCGCCCCCTCAGATGACTTTAACTTGTATTAAATTGACAGAAGACTATCCACCACACCTAGGTTTGTTTGTTTGTTTTAATCTGTTCTGACAAACAACATACAGTGTTAATTATGGTTTTCCAAACAGTTTGTTTGTGTGGCCTGTAGACCAGGCTGGCCTTGAACTCACAGAGATCCACCTGCCTCTGTCTCCTAAGTGCTGGGATTAAACACAGACGCTACCATCACCCAGCAATTAAGTAAATCTTTAAAAAAAAAATACTGTTGTGGGGCTGGAGAGATGGCTCAGCGGTTAAGAGCACTGACTGCTTTGCCAAAGGTAAGTGCTGAGTTCAGTTCCCAGCACCCACATGGTGGCTCACAACCATCTGTAATAGGATCCGATTCCCTCGTCTGGTGTGTCTGAAGACAGCCAAAGCGTACGCATATTAAAAAAAAAGATGCTGTTGTGGCCAGGCAGTGGTAGTCAGCACTCAGGAAGCATAGGCACATTGATCTCTGTGAGTTCAAGGCCAGCCTAGTTTACAGAGCAAGTTCCAGGACAGCCAGGACTAAGAGAGAAACTCTGTCTAAAAAAAACCAACACACACTCACACTCACTGTTGTATTATGTGTGGATATCTGTGGGTATATACATGTGAATGCAGATACCCGAGGAAACCAGACTGTTTCAGGTCACTTGACTCTGGATTACATGCAGCTGTGAGCTCCCTGACTCAAGTGCTGGGAGCCAAGCCAGGTTCTCTGCAGGAACAGTTACTGCGTACCCTTGGGTTTCCTGCCTGTTCTCCCATGGACTGTCAGGTCATACAGGGTAGTGATTTCGTCTTTGGGGGTCGTTTGATTCTCTGGGACAGTGGTGGTCCACAGGCATCTGTGGTTGTCTGTTGGGCACATGCACTGGTGGGGAAAGTGGGAAAACAAGAAGTCTCCCCAGTGGTGTTGGCACGGGGGAGTTACACCAGTTGTCTTTTACAGGTCTCAGCCTGGGATGACCGCATAGCAGAAGGCACATTTCCTGGGAAGATCTGACCTGGCTCCGCCCACCTCTCCTCTGTTCTTTGACCTTCTCCCCGGATAGAAAGGGGGACCTCAGTATATGATGGTCCCTACCCCAGGGACCCTGAATCATGATGCAACTGCTAATAAAAAGTCACTGGAAACATTTCACGCTGTGTGTATAGGACAGCTAGACAAGAAGCCAGGATACTCTGGCCCAGAAGGAGCCTCACGGTGCTTATCTTTCTTGTTTTTAAAAATGAAGTGTAGATTTCTTTTTAAAGATTTATTTATTATGTGAATGTGTGCACATGCCTGAGCGCGCCTGAAGGAACCAGAAGAGAGTTGGGCTTGAGTTCAGGGAACCAAACTCCAGTCCTCTGCAAGAGCAGCAAGTGTTTGGCTGTTTTATGGGCTTTTTTTTGCCCGCATGTGTGTAAGATTACAGTGTGTATGCAATGCCTGCAGAGGCCAGAAGAGAGTGTCAGATCCCTTGAGGCTGGAGTTACACCCTGTTGTAAGCGGCCATAGAGCTGCTGGTCTCTCTTTTTTCTTTCTGCTTTGTTTTATATTTTTATTTTGTGAACTTTGACCACCTGTATGGCAGTCAGTGGAGTGGATAGTCACACAAAATAGCTTTAAGTCTCTGGTGTGCTGGCCAGGCAGTGGTGGCGCACGCCTTTAATCCCAGCACTCAGGAGGCAGAGGCAGGCGGATTTCTGAGTTCGAGGCCAGCCTGGTCTACAGAGTGAGTTCCAGGACAGCCAGGGCTACACAGAGAAACCCTGTCTCGGAAAAAAAAAAGTCTCTGGTGTGCTAAAATGAACAATGTTTCCCCTTATAGTAACACACACACACACACACACACACACACACACACACACACGGGACTTAAACCCAGAGCTTGATGCAAGCCAGACAAGCACTTTATTGCTGAGCTGCAGCCCCAGCTGTACTAGGCAGTTCCAGACAAATGTCCCATCCATCTTCTTGTTCCCCTTTCCCCTTTGTGTTTTGTTTTCTCAACAGGGTCTCATGTAGCCCAGGATAACCTTATTTTTATTTATGTGTATGTATGTGGCAGGGAGCTGTGTACACATGAGTGCGGTGCTCTCGGAGGCCAGAAGATCCCTTGGAACTGGAGTTAGAGGCTAGGTTGTGAGCTGTCTCTGGTGTGGCTCAGGTCCTCTGCAAGAGCAGCACGCATTCTCACCCACAGAGCCATCTCTCCAGCCCTTCTTAGCTTTTAAGTAAATCCTGGAGATGCTATCTTACCCCTAAGTAGATTTTTCTCTCTCCCTCCCCTCCCCCTCCCTCTCTCCATCATAGCTTCAGTGAAGCTATATGAAGATTTCATTGTAGCTCAGGCTGGCTTCAAATTTACAACCCTTCTGAGCTCCATTATGGAACTCCAGGTAGCTTACAGGTGCACACCACCAACCAGCTGGACTTGTTTTTGTTTTTTTTGTTTTTCGAGACAGGGTTTCTCTGTATAGTCCGGGCTGTCCTGGAACTCACTCTGAAGACCAGGCTGCCCTCGAACTCAGAAATCCGCTTGTCTCTGCCTCCCAAGTGCTGGGATTAAAGGCGTGCGCCACCACCGCCCGGCCCAGCTGGACTTGTAACATTGTAAAACGCAAGAAATGCCTGGTGCCTAGAGGCGAGCTCCTGCTCAAGGTTCCCTCCCCTTGAACACCATGATGATTGAAAGTCATGGCTGAGACAAGGCCAGATAGGCCATCCCCCAAAGGAACTGCCACACACCAGTGTGTCAGGGGGTCAGCCTAACGAGCTGGAAAACCACAAATAACTGTACCCACACTTTCCTGGTGTCTGACGAGAATTCAGATGAATGGAGGTGTTCTGTGATCTGAGGAGTAATGGCCCTTGGATGAAATCTCTGAGACACCTTCATAAGGGAGGATCATTAACTACTGCTCAGGGGCCTCCTGGGTTTGTAACAAGCGTAGAACTGCTTTCTTGAACTCACCTACAGGTTAGCCACAGCCACACTCCCTTCCTCTCACTGATAATTTCTAGGCAGGAGCTCTCCCACTGAGCCACGCCCCCAGCCCCTCACT